CTTTCTTTCTTTCTTTCTTTCTTTCTTTCTTTCTTTCTTTCTTTCTTTCTTTCTTTCTTTCTTTCTTTCTTTCTTTCTTTCTTTTCTTTCTTTTATTTTTTTGCCATAGGGCACATGCGCTCACTGAAAAGAGACAGAGAAAGGGAGGGAAAGTGAGAAATAGCCACGTTGCAGTCCCTTCTGCATTCTCCTCTTGGGATTTTAGGCATCTGCACAGATGTGCGTGGTGTGATTTTTCAAGCCTCCAGATCCGGACTAGCTTCAGTCTTAGCTATGTGGGAGTCTAGAGTCTTAACCTCCACACCAACTGCTGACCCCAGGAGAATTCTTTAAGGCACAGGCAGAAAAGTGGACTGAGCCATCTCCTCACTCCACAAATGAACTTTTTCCCTGGATCTAGGATAGATAGCAAGCAAAATTATTTTTCTAATTTCTTTTCCAATTATACAACATTTGAGATCTAGGTAATGTGGGGAGCCAAGAAGGAGACATAAGGAATGTGCAGGACATGAAAACCAGAATATGACCAGGGTCATTATCTGGACAAACCTTGGTGACTGAATTGTTATGTGCAGAATGTTCCAGGTATTGTTGCAACAACCTGATAAACTCAGCAAGGACTTTTGAGTCCCATGTTAAGGAAGCCAAATGTTTCTGTCTAAATCACAGCAATAAACTTAACTCGGGGCTGACCAGTATTGACTGGCAGTCCTCCCGTCTCTATCCTGTCTTTCTTGTCTTTCTTTAATCCTCTCCCCCCAACTCAGGAACTGTTCATGGTCGGCAGGTCCGAAGAGGTAAGATTTTAATCTAGAAACATCCTCTGTCATGATATACCATTATTTTAAGCTAAATTATTCTTTTTATGAAAAACAAAACTAAACCATCACTCCCCTCCCATGTACTATTTTGTATTCATTTAGAAGGTAAATTTCTCTTTGTCTGTCAATAAGGGCAATCATTTTTGTACTTTCCACTATTTGTTTCTTTATGTCATTGAACTCAATTATAAACCTGACAAATGGGCTGCCTCACGGAGTATACAGTCCAGGGGAGATATACATGTAATTGCAAACAGGCAAATCATTATGCAGAGCAGTCAGCACACAGCGAGGACAGCAAACTGCCCTAGGATGTTGTAAAGGCTTCATTTGGACTGTGTCTAGAAGGATAAGTCCTTGGGGGAAAGGTCTTGAGAATGGCATCCTCAGATGGGAACCAGAAAGTGTTGAGAATGAGCCTGGTGAGCGTTGGCCAGATGTAGAGAAGAGGAGTCACTCAGGATTGTGCAATGTGCATACACAGTGGTTAATGGAAGCTATTAACCAGGCACTGGGAGCACTGGAAACATCAAAGAAGACAGGCCTATCTTTCTAAGGATGAAGTCACCAGTGACCCACAAAGGGGAATTAGCTCACTGGCCATACCATCGAACTTCCTGCAGGGTAAAAAGGAAGGTCTTGGCTCTTGAAGAGCTTGTTTCAGAAGTGAGACACAGGGCCAGCCTGAGGCTGGTGGTTACATGAGTTTTACCCGTCATGGCCAACTACATGCTTCTAGTCCCATACCTGTGGCTTGAAAAATATGCCAGGCATGTATGATGCCTAAATCCTGAAAGGAGGGAGAGATGGAAGAGAAGAGATTGTGGTATGACTATGCCCCCCATCCCCGGGAGCGGGTATATTTTCTTGTTTTCTCTTTCTCTCTCTTCTGCATAAGCCTTCTAGCAAAATTTAAAAAAGAAAAAAAATAAAAGTGAGACATAGCGGACCAAAGGTGCCTGTGGGGTAGGTCTCTTGACTCGAGAGTGTATGGGATCAAAACACAGTCCAGCTAAAAAGTTTTGCACTTTTTATGACTCTTTTCCTCAAAAGCTTATCTCCTCATGCAGAGAAGAAGCAAATTTAAAACTTATCAAGTTCTTCAACTTTACTCTCCTAAGTCAAGCTCTCATGCTCTTTTCCCTTCTGCTGTTGACTATGGCTGTGATAGCCATCAGCCCCTCCCTTCATAAGTCACCAAGGAAATGGTCTCATTTCCTATTCAGGACCAAAGTAAGTTTTGAGGATTAAAAAATGGCCACAAGGATTTCTGTGCCTCAGATGTAGAAAGTTGGAAAGAAGATCACATCCACCTAAGAAAAAGAAAAGACTGGACAAACTACAAAATTGTAAATGTTTCTGAGCCCATAAAAATGCTGAAGTGACACAGCCAAGTAGTCAAGGAGTAACAAACTTCTTTAAGGGGTCACAATGTAGGTGATGGGTCACCTGTGACAGAGTGTGAGCAAAAGAGATGATGGAAACCATGCAACTGGGAAAAGAAAACTCAGTAAAAATTCTCAATGAATTGCTAAAGGTTGATTGTGGGCTATATATGAGAGTATAGAATCTTGGGGGTCTGTGACACACAGAAAGGATACATTACATACAGAGGAATAAAGGAGAAGAATGATGCGTATTCCAGTGATTAATTCCAACAAGCATTTGAGGAATAAATTAAACCAGTTCTAATGTATTACTCTGGTATCAAAATCAGAAAAAGACACTAAAAGAAAACTACAGGCCAATATTCCTCATGAATGCAAGCTCAAAAAATCCTCAACAAATTATTAGAAAATCAAATTCAGCAATTATAAAAAAATTATAAAATTATATAAAAATTATATAATCTACCCTGATCAAGTGAGGTTTATCTTCTAAATGTAAGACTGGTTCAACATTTGAATATCAATCAAGGTAATTCATCATATCAACAGAATAAAGAATAAAAAGCATATGGTTATCTAATAGATTTTCAAAAACTACTTGACAATATTTAACATTCAATCATAATTAAAAAACAAAAAATCCTCTCAGTAACATAGGAATTTAAAGGAATTTACTAAATTTGATAAAGGACATCTGTAAAACACCTACAACTGCTGTCTTATTTAAGATGAAAGACCCAATGTTTTCCCACTTAAGATCAAGAACAAAGCAAAGATGTTATTCTCATTATTCCTGTTCCAAAAGCCCAAGCCAGTACAATAATGTAAGAAAGAGAAGTAAAAGGCATACAGATTGAAAAGGGTGGAAATGCCTCTTCCTACTCATAGACAGTATGACTGTGTATGCAGAAAATTTCTAAGATTCAAATAAATGAAAGCTCCTAGAAGTAAGGTTAGCCAGATCACAAGATACAAGATCAAAATATAAAAATCAATTCTATTTCTAAGTAAAAGCAACAAACAATTTGAAATTAAAATGAAAGTCAGAATCATTTAAAATAGCAAGGAAAACAAAAAATAATACAAACTTAAATACTATGTGTAAGATCTGTGTGCAAAGGACTATAAAATACTAATGAGAAAAATCAAAGACTCAAATAAATGGAGAGCCATATTGCATTATTGGAAAATGACACAGTAAAGAAGTCAGTTCTTCCCATATTGATTTGCATGGTGAATGCAATCCCAATCAATTGTAGCTAGGGGCCAGATGGTGGTACAGCAGTAACACATGTGGACCCACAAGAAAGGTTCTTGGTTCATATCCCATTCCTCCCTGGGCATGTGTGTGCATGCCATGATCCAGGTTGGCTGAGACTTTGTTGGGAGTGTCTATCTCTCTCTTAAAAGAGAGAGTAAATGTATTTTTAAAAAATGCACTTTAAGGGAACCAGCAGTTAGCATAATGGCTATGTCGCTGGACTCCCACGTAGTCAGCCGCGGTTCTCGTCCAGGACCCAGTGGCTTAAAACTCACGCCGGGCATGTGTGCATGCGTGCCCAAGATCCCGAGAGGAGAATGGAGGAGAAGGGATTGTGGCGTGACCATCCCCCCTGGAGGGCGATTTCTCACTTTCTGTCTCTATGTCTCTCTCTGTCTATCTGGCGAGCGCACGCGCCCTATAGCGAAAAACCTCTCCAAAAAAAAAAAAGCACTTTAAAAAATTGCAGCTATATTTTTTAATTGGGTCATTGGAAAAGTCATGACACATGTTTGCATAAAAAAGATAGTAAAATACAACATAACTTTTCTGATGACTCAACAGAAAGTGAAACAGTGATTTATTTAAAAGTTATACGGAAAAGTAAAGTAATTAGAAAAACTGAAACGACTTTTTAAAGTTTATTCATTTATTTTTTCTGTAAGAGAGAGAGAGACAGAGACAAGTACACCCAACAGAGTCCTCATGCCACAATCTACCTCTGTCTCAGCAACCCTAAATCATGAGCATGCACACATATGCCTGGCAAGCTTAGGAAAGTCCCAGGACACAAATCCAGTACTTTTCACCATGCAGATCCAGTTGCATTACTATTATGACACTGCCTAGCCCCATATCCAAAACAATTAAAAGAAAAAGAAAAAAGATAACCTTTACTACCTTTACTATACGACTTCAAGACCAGCTATAAATCTATAGCAATTAAAACAGGGATAAAAGTTGTATGCGTTGATTAATTGCATAGAATGAAGAGTTAAAAAATTACTCACAGTGGTTTTTGATAGAAGCACAAAGAAAATATAGTTTTTTCAAGAAATGGTGCTGAAGAAATTGGACATTCATATGCAAAATATAAAGTCTGGATCCATTCCTCATACCATATATGAAAACTAAATATAAATAAATCAGAGGCTTAAACATAAACCTACTAATTATAAAATTTCTAAGAAAAAATAGTTGCCACATTGGGT